AGTGTTTAAGGGACATTTGGACAATGTCCTTTTAACAACATGTTTTAACTTTTGGTCAGCCCTGAATTGGTCAGGCAGTTGGACTAGATGATGTTTGTAGGCCCTTTCCAACTGAAATAGTCTATTCTAACATTGCCATAAGGGATTAAAGTTTCCCTGCTAAGACCAAGAAAGAGTACAGTCAATGGGTAAAGTGAGGCAGGCTGAATTTATTGTAAGTGCCTCTGAGGCTCACCACACATCAATTGGTTTGAAACCTTGATCTTTTCTGGGTTTTTTGGGCTTTTTTAGGAAAGAAAGAAGTTCTTTGAGTTGAAAAGTGAACATGTTTTTCAAAAGAAATCAAAAGAAGACTTAGCTAACAAGTGACCCTGTTGTTGCTGTTCAAAACACATTGTGCTGTTGTTTTCCGTACTGGTTTATCCAGTCTGAGGTTTCATGGCTTTCTGCACCTTAGGCCAGATATCTGCTGCAGTTCTCTGAAGCTGTAATTATTACACCTTGTGCCTGCAGGGCACAACTGATTACAAAAGGGCCAAGCCTGAAAGCAGAGGAAGAAGCAAATCTCTGTTTTTAATGATTACCAGTAATTTTTGAAAACTTTTTTTTTTTTTTTTTTTTAGATAGACCTGTGAATGTTTTGTATGTATAGAAACAGTGAAAACTTAGGCATTAGCTTCAGCAGCTCTCCTGTGGTATGGAGTTTTAACTGAGAGCAAAACAAAAAAGGCTCATGTGGGACACAAATGGTGTTTTGTCAGAGTAAAACATCCTGGAATTGAGTGAGGAAGCTATGTCAGAGACTAAAATTACCATCTATTAGGCAGTTTATATAGATGTGCTGGAGGCCAGCAGATAGCGGGTGCCTTCCTCCATTTCCATTTCATTCAACATACATTTCCTTGGGAGTATTTTTTTTTTATTTTGAACTGATACTATATTCTATTGCCAAGTTGTTTTTCTTTTGAAGACAGATAGGTTACACAATCCAGTGCCAAGAATCTGTCGAGCAAGCCTGTAGCATACCATTATATAGATAAAACAAAGGCAAAAAAAGTAGGTCATTCTATTTTATTTGTTGAGCAGTGTCTGGTTTTGGTGGTACTAGCTCATTGAACTCAGTAAGAGTACACACCTGAAAGCTTTGAAATGTAGTGCCTCCAGCAATACATCCTCTTGACAAGTAGACCTTGATGTTTTCACATTTGGGATTTGGTATACACTGAAAAGCTAGGGTGTTAACTGAAAATACAAATGGTCATGTGAAACAGGAGGCTATTAAAGGCACTGGGGAAAGCAGGAGGCGGCTGTGATGTGGAGGTAGGCCATGGAGAAGAATGAGCCTGGATTAGGTATTTGCTTTTCTCTCCAGTACCGTGGAAGGTGTGGAAGAGTACACCGTATACTAATGCTTTGGCTCTCAGTGAACCCTGACTAAATGACGGAAAAGAAATCCTGCGTGAGCATGTGCTGTGTGGGCACACATGTTTGTGTGTGTGTGTGTGTGTGTGTGTGTGTCTATGTGTGCATTCACACACTTCAGTGCAGATAAGAGATTTGTCAGATTGGTGGCAAAATTAAAGCAATTTTTAAAAAAAACTAGCATAGATTGGACCAAAAGATTTTCATTGTAACGTCAGCCTAAAGATAAAGTCTTTCTGACCACTAATACCAGTTTAACCGCTTTTCTCTGCCAGGGGCCAGAAGCAGATACTTAGGAAAAGTGTAAAGGAGTGTGTGTAAAGGAAAAGTATAAAGGGTGTGTATAAAGCACTGCTCCCGGTAGACCTTCCCAATTTAGCAGTCTGTTGTTCAGGGACTTCCTAAGCCAGATAGGATATCTGTGTAATAGCTCTTCCTGGACATATCTCTTGTGAATTTGATCAGATTCTCTTTGAACCTATTTTTACCTTTGGTTTTCCCAGGATCCTGTGGCAATTTAATTACACATTGTGTGAAGAAATACTTCCTTTCGCTAGGCGTAAATCTTTAGACCAGCCTTGCAACTGGCTGTCTTCCTCCCCACAGTTCCTGTCCTCTGAAAAATGGTGAAACATCACCTAGTCGGGATTTCATAGGTCTCTCATATCCCTCCTCAGCCATCTGTTTTCTAAACCAAGAAATGTCTTTTCTCCTATGGAAGCCATACCATATCTCCAATGATCCTCATCCTCCCTTTTGAACTTTTTCTGCTGTATCAGTCCGTAGCAAAATGCTTTGCTCTGCTTGTCAAAGGATAAATACTACCGAGCTGAAGAGCTCTGCTTACTCCATATTTTTCAGTTTGCTGGTGCGTATCGTGCAAAACTACGGTGGCATAACCGTGACTTTTACATCATTTAGGTTTCTAAAGAACTGCAAGCGACAGGCACTACATTAAAATGCATGTATTCTAGGCCATTATAAAAAAATATATACACAGTCTGTTATTAAAGTTTTCCAGGGAATAGTGTGGATGAGAAGTTAATTGGAGCTTTCTTCTGCAGAGGAATTGGCCTTTTTTTTTTTTTTAGTTGGAGAACCCTTCTCAATTCCTGTTGCACTTTGCTCTACTCCTCTCAAAGCCCCAGACCAACAGCCACTAATTTCCTCTGTCAGCGGGACTTGATACAGTTCTCTCTGAAGTCTGCCGCACTCCTCCTGAGGTATCTGCATGCATCAGGTATATAGGACATGAAATTCTCCCTCAGCATCCTTCCATCTGCTCCCTCCCAACTGCACACTAAGTACACTTGACAGAGTTTTGCTGTCAGTTGGACTTGTCTAATCGGCTATTGCTCTTCAGTGCAAGGTGGAATATAAATGAAAGAGACCAAAATGGTACCCAGCATCCAGCTCCCTGTCTCCTAAGTATTTTCATTGCTGCTTGAGCTCAAACTAAAAACAGAACTGATAAGGGCAAAACAGCCAAAATATCATAGGGAAATGGGTCCCAACACTGGTTTTAAGAGTAAATGTGAGACTGCAAACAAGTTAGAAGCGAAGTCCCAGCTTCATGAGTGCACAGGATTAGTAAGGAGGAGGAGTGGGAATCTGTCTCTATCAGGGACAAAACTATGTTAATTCTGAAGCCTAAATATTACTAATTCAAGTAACATCTACATGAATTACTTTATGGTTCTACCTTCTTTATCTCCTTTCATCATGGGTCAAGACAGGTGTCTGCTTTGCTTGTTTTCTTGTGTCCCTTGGTGCATCAGTTTCTAGAGTGACCCCGACTTTCTGTAATTATTTGCCTGCAGATTTTCCACTCATTCCCTCTGCTTGTCATATCTGCTCTCACTACAAACCCCTACAGCAGCATTAGGTGTCTGCTACTCCTTACACTTCCCTCTGCTCCTTCTCTATCAGTCTCTTTACCTCCCATGCCTTGGACTGCAGAATATGGGGTGCTGTTTATGTAAAGAAAACCCACCCAGACCCAAAGCCCCAAACTCCTCTCTCCCCTGCTTTTGCCTTGACTCTCAGGGTTTGCTCTCTGCCCTCAGAGGCTCCAGCATGGGGAAGCTGTGCAAGGTGAAAGCAAGGTAGCGGCCATCATGATGGGAGTAACACAGACAGCAACTGAGAATGCTAGCTTTGGTGTAAAAGAGAAGGGCATTTAGAAACTGAGAGTCAGATGTGAAAAACAAACTGTCTTAATGGTGGGAATGGGTGCTAAAATTGTGAGAGATGGCAGTAGTATTTGCAGAAGTAGTGAACTATCATGTACATAACTATGAAGAGTAAGCATGAAGAAGCAATATAAAATACTTACCTGGGTTAAAAATACTTATCTTCTTTATAAATGGAATGTACAACGTTACGTAGATAGTGGACTTCTTCGTATTACCATCTTATCAATCACACCTCTGTGATTTTTAAATGTGGCTTGTGAGTTTGGGTGTGCAACCTCAAAGGGGCGTGAGTTTTAAAAGCTGAAAGACATCATTTCTTAAAATTGGGCCCTTTAAACTTTTCATTAATCGGTAACCTAAAACCTGAGCTACTAACACTATGAGCTGTCTCTTGGGCTAGCCTCTGGCTTTGTTAAACCACTCAACAATTAGGGGACCTTCCCTCAATAAACAGTCAGCTTGCACAGAAAAAAAGATGTTTGTTGGTTTGCAATGAGAAAATAAGTTTATGCTGATCATTTCAAGAAAAGACACCTGAGTGTAGGACTGAGAGACGCAACTGCCAGTCTTTGGAGGACTGGCAGAATCTTAATTAGTGCTTTCTTACTGAGTTACCTAGAAAAAAACATTCTAACCACTTTATGTGTGTGCTCTCCAAAGCTTTCGCAGGTTTACACGGTCTAATAGTGTAACAACAGCCGTGCAAGCAGACCTGGATTTCCAGGAGAACTTTGAAATAATCGACCCTCAAGAGGACAATACATGTTCTGGACAAATATCAAGACAATTTTCCCGAGATGCAAGCACCTCTACCGTTAGCATACAAGGGTCAGGAAACCATTACCATGCATGTGCAGTGGATGATGACTTTGATACAGATTTTGATCCATCCATTTTACCTCCTCCTGACCCCTGGATTGACTCTATCACCGAAGATCCTCTGGAAGCTGTTCAAAGGTCAGTGTGCCCACGAGATGGCCACTGGTTTCTGAAGCTACTTCAGGCAGAGAGAGATCGTATGGAGGGGTGGTGCCAACAGATGGAGAGAGAAGAACGGGAAAACAACTTACCGGAGGACAGTAAGTAACTGTATATAATGATATTGCAACTACAAAGAAGTATTTAATATAGGTCAAGTTTACTCCAGTGAATTCTGTATCGTGCTCTTTCTTATTTAGCTAATGAAGATATGGTCATGATTCTCAAAAGGACTGTATGTATGTATATAATAATCCTTATTAAAGTTGATGGGGAATGCAAATGCTCGGCACTTCTGAAACTCCAGAGGTATTAGCTTTTGGGATTGCATAGTTCAACGGATAATTAGGAGATTGTGGTTGGGGATCTTGTAGTATTAATGTTTCTTAACTCTTCCATTTGAAATCACTTCTCATCACCTTAGAATATAATTGAACATATTCTGGTTCCTTTTCCTTAAATTAATATTTTAGCTGCCTTTTTAGATAGTGATTGGCATCAGAGTCTTCAGATACTTCTCCCAACTGAAAGAGATTTCAGCTGTGCTTCCAAGTTGTTCTCTCTCTCTTCCCCTCTCCAATCTCCCTTCATCTCCCTTGCAGTTCTCATTCCTCTTTGATCTTCCTGGTAAAACAAGCTCTCCATATTCTGTGATAAAATACACACACATGCAACTCTCATTTCACTTGTCACCACTGCCAGAACTATTACCCCACCTGTAAGGTAATGGGAATGTCTAATAAGCCTTCATTACTAAGAAGGGTTGGGTAGCTCACGTCTTATTCATTCACTCTAATTAGGAAAGAAGAGCTGAACATGTGCCTCCCTGTCCAGAATTTTTTCTCCCAGTAAAAATGGAAGTTTTTTCCATTTACTTTCATTACAAGGAGCAGTACTATTGACAGCTGTCAACTTTTAGACATAGGTAAACCTGTGAGCTTAGGAGCATGCTCCATGTGAATGAAGCTTTTTCAAATTCTACCAGGGAGCTTCTAGAAAACACTAAGGAGCAGCTGCATATAGAGAGTAAAATACTGTATAATTCAGGCACACCTAAGCATATTTTCCTGGATATTTTCAACCCCCAAATTAGCTCCTACCAATGCAAGGACTACTACTTCAGCTCCAGGATTGCTTCTTCCTAATTTCTAACCCTTCCTCTCAAGAAGGGAGGCGCTAGCATTCTTTTGAGATGTGAAGGTTTTGATTTATGGAAGCAAAGGAAATAACACTTGCAAAAAATATATTTCTTTAAATTCTTAGAAATGCATAAGCTGTTTCTGCAGGAACTTCCCATTCAACCCAATGAAAGAAATAACCATAGAGAAGTTTGATCTAGATAGTTAAAATTAGGCACTATTATAAGCAACTGGAAATTGACTTCTAATGGAAAGTATGAACTAACCTTAACATTAAGATATGTTAAGGTTTTCTATTTCTACAAAATTTCTGTTACCTAATAGGCTAATGATTTCTTCTGAGGGAAAAATACAGAAGGATTAGCCTTCAAAGCAGATCCAGATTCCCCAAGTTTTAGAGTATTTGAACCTCATTTTTAATTTACATCATCAATACATTCAAAGATCTCTCTAAACATGTGTCAAAATACAAAGGTTTTCTGATGTTAGTATGCAAGAAATAAACCCCATGAACTATGAGATTTTAGACTGAAAAAGAAGTGTGAGCACATAACAAATAGGAAATAACATTTGTAAGTCCAAACCACAAAACCCACTTGCTTTGTCTTTGCAACAGCAACTTAGATTGGACATAATAAGTTTTCTACAATGAGGGTGGTGAGGCACTGGAACAGGTTGCCCAGAGAAGCTGTGGAGGCCCCATCCCTGGAAGTGTTCAAGGCCAGGCTGGATGAGGCTTTGGGCAACGTGGTCTAGTAGAGGGTGTCCCTGCCCATGGCAGGGGGGGTTGGAACTGGATGGTCTTTAAAGATCCCTTTCAACCCAAACTGTTCTGTGATTCTATGATTCTATGAACTGCTAATAATGGAAAAACATACAAATACTTTATTTGTGCACCAAAGTAGTTATTCACCTTGGGAAAAGAACATGAAGTGAATTTTACAAGGCTGATACATGCAGAACATGTATATCCATGTACAGAATTTTCTCTCAGTGTCTTTGATAGATGATAGTCTTAAAGGGCTCTTCTTTAGAGCAATCAGTGGGAGAAGTCAGTTATGGGGAAGATAAAGGAGTGGTTAGGTTGGCTATTCCCAATGCCTCCTTACAGAGCACGTGGTATGTGTCCTGCGGATTATTCCTCTTCATTCTTCTGACTGGCACTCCTCATGATCGCTGGAAATGGGAGGAGGAAAGAGGCCACCCTTGTTTTGCAGTCACTGGCAAGGTGCTGGTTTCGGTGTGACGCCGTCAGCTGCTCCGGCACGTGACAGCTGCCTCCCGCACAGGCTGCACAGGGCTTTCCGTCTGTATCCACACGGCCCGCTCTACCTGGTGCCAAAAAAAACCCCATATGGTCTATGGTCAGGGCCACGCTGCCCGCTCAGCAGTGCCAGAAACAAAAGCCTGGCTGTTACAAACGCTGCCCCGAAATACATCTTCTTCATACGTCTATAAACTTTGAAGAGAGGGAGGAAAGGAGCAGAAGAGGTGTGTTTGCTTTGGTTTCCCTAATGAAATATAACCAGAGCAGGGAACGCACCCCTTTGTTTTCAACCTGACATCCCCAGCGTGTGTTTGGCCAGATAACAAAATAACGAGAACGTGTGATGAGCGAGGTTTTCTCGATGCCATGGCAGCTGACAGAGGGCTCGTCCCCCCGGCGCTCCACGTAAAACGATCCGCGCTTCCTCCAGACAATGCAGCCCTTGTGCGAAACAGCTGTCTCGGGGAGACGGCTCGCTGCTGTTTGACAGTAGCTTGTATGTTACATAGATACGTTGGGTATTATCTAGCTGGGAATGAATCTACCAGATGGGATTGAATGTTTCTAGCTGGGAAATGGAGTCTGCTGCTGTGTATAAAAACAAGCTGTGGTTCAGTGGCTGCACGATGAAAATGCCAATATAGAGAGAAATGTGGCTCCCCTTCCGCCATGAATTATTTATTGTATAGTATATTCTGGTTTTATCTGAAATCATTTTCTGATAAAGCCGCAGTGTTGTAACAGGCAGATGAACACCACTCACACTTTAAGCTAGGATACTTGATATGATTTCCATGTGTTTTGCTGTTATGGGGATGTTGGCTACAAACTCTAGGGCTCTCACAGAAAAAAAAAAAAGCAAACAAGATGTTAGAGATATGAGGCTAAACACCTTGTGAGAATTGATTCACGCTTTGGATCACGCCTCAATTGTTTACCTTTTTTGTTTGTTTTTTTCTCTTCCCCCTCCGCTGTTTCCTCCTATCTCTCCCCTGCAAAATTTCATATAGCCAGAGCCTCGCCTCTGACCGCTTCTTTCCACGGCAGCGGTGGGCACAGGAACATAAACCTACCACCTCGGCCTGGCTTTTGCTGGATTTTTTCCTGTTGTTTTTATTTCACATGGGGCATTAACCTTTCTGGAAGAACCTCAGGACTTCATTTTGCCCCCTCCTTCAGAAATGTTTCTCTTCCACACGGGGTTGTAACATGGCTTCGATGCAAAGATAACCGTTCAAAGCAAACAGTGGGCCTGACTCACCACAAGTCAGGTGTAATGTGGGGTTAGTGGCAAGAAAAATCAGGCCAATCAAGTAAAAACTAAAATAGAAAACCAAGGCCCTGACAAGATGTGTCATTATAACTGTCTTGCGTGTATATTATACTCCTCCGGGCTAGTCTGCAAACAAAGGTTGACCTCAAATCTGCAGTAACCTCACTGCTTCGGACCAAAGTCTCTGCAAATTCAGCCAGTTCTGGCAAATTATGCAATGTTTGCACACTTTCTGCTCTTCTCTTTTGTTTTGATTGTTTCAAAGGAAAACGTAAAAAAGAGTGAAGGCTAGACACCTGAGAAGACAGTTAAGGAAAAGATATTCTTTTTGCAGTAGTTGTGCATGGCAAAATAAAAGGAGAACCTTGAATTCACTGTCAGTCACGAGCAAGGAAAACCATTTTCCAGTCCTCTGCAGGGCTTCCCCAAGCTGTTCTGGTCCCTGCTGCGAGGCGGTGCGAGGTGGCCTCGTCCCGCAGCGGGCTGATGCAGCCTTGCAGAGGGATGGTCACCAGCCTGACGTGTGGACAAGTCCTGCTGGAATTCCCCCGGCTACGTGCCTCTGGCCCTCTGCCCGACTGTCCTTTCCTTCCTCCAGTTTTCTTCTCTCTCCAGAAGGGACTTGTCCCTCTGCGAGGGTTTCTCCAAGGAAAGCCAGCCCTGCCAGTGTCCAAAGGCTAGCAAGGAAAGAAGAGAAATCTGCAAGTAATGAAACAATATAGTTAGGGAAAAACCATGAAGTGTGCTAATAAAAGCCGAGTAAGTCAGAGAACACATGGAAACTGCTTTACTCCCAGAGAACAGCATTTACTCATGCAGACAGCCCTATTAATTTCAATGAGATCACTCCTATAAGTAAATATGACTCAAAGCAAGGACTGCCCCTTCCATCCCTTGCTCCATTTGGCTGTTTTCTCCTTAACAGCTCAGCTTAAGACCCGAGCAGTAGCTTTAACTTTGAATTTCCTGGCTTTTGTCATGCCTGGTGTTATTTAAATGTAGGTCTGTCAACATGAATAGGCTAAAACGCTGGTCCATCCTGGCTTGGAAATGGATTGTGACAGCTCTGTGGCAGGATTGCTTCATATGCACAGTGCCCAGCCAACATCTGCAACGCAAATGTCAGGCTGTGTCCCTGTAATTTCGGTTATTGTTCCTGCCGCTTGCTCCCGGGGCAATGGGCGAGCCGCTGGGGTGCTGCTCCCTAGCTTGCGCCCTGCCTACCAGCCAGGTGTTGCCACGTTAAGGGCATTTGATAGTCACAGCCCTAAAGTGCCTCCTTTGTCCCTTGTTAGACCCTGGGGCCTGTCAGAGTTGAAATGCAAAGAGATCCGTTGGTGGTTTGAGGCCAAATAATGCTGCCGTTCCTCAAAACTCCCGTGGCTTCCATGTGATGACTATTCACATCACTTCAGGTGGTTTTTGTTGTTGTTGTCTTATAGTTTGTTATCCTCGTTACACACACAGTCTCCTTCTAAGGTGGCACAGACAACAATATCACCAATTCCTTGCTTGTGTTTGAAATTATTTTGTTGTTGTTGTTGTTTCATTTATTTTCCCATGAAAATGGGGGAGAGGGAGGAGATATGTAGAGCTCCACAATCCCGAAGTAGGTCCTATGCAGTTCTTAGAACCAAGAGAAGCAAGAACTTGAACAGCACGTAATCTATGTTTATATTTAAGAATATTTTAAAAGGTGAACAGGTTGGGGGGTTTAGAGAAACAAGGAAATTCACGGGCATGTGTCTATCCTAGAATAACATTCTTTGACCCCTAGTCAGGAACAATAATAGGAGGCACTCCACAATAGCTGAATTATATCAAAATAGCTGTACTGAAGCAGTTCTTCCAGAACAGATATAACTGTCTATTTCTTAAAAGTCATCACAGGAGAGAACTGGATTTACAAGGAAGAGAGGTCAAAGCAAAGGCGGGGCGGGGGGGGGGGGGAGGAAAAATTCAAACTATACAAACAAAACACTGCAGTACACACACTTCTTCCCCTGGGGAAGGGGTGACAGCAAAGCATATGATGGATGTTAATAATGTTGCTTAATGCATTACTGGAAGGCATTCAGATCTGACAGTGCTGAGTGTGCTGTATAACCCTGTATGGAATAGAAAGCAGACATGAATAATATTATATAGGTGTTTAAGTCCGTTATGGTTGCATCTTGATTGGTCGTATTATTTGTTGTTGCTTGGTTTTATACATCTTGTTTGTATCCTATTAGCTGAACACATGGATTTGAATGTTTTTGGTTTTTTCTCCTGTACCCTGTCTCCCTTGCTGATAAAGATTTCTCTAATTCTTTTCCTACGTATTTTGAGCATTATCTTTGCAGTTCCACTAATTTTCTTGGTATTTGGCTTCAAACCTTTTTTCTCCTCAGAAAGTATCAGTCTATTTTTACTTCTTGGTTTTTTACTTCACCTTGGCCTTTCTCTTTGGCACCGGAGGTTTTGACTGAGTAAGCAAAATAAGCACTCTGCCTTGAAACACTAAAAGCAACGTGCATTTGGAAACAAAACTATTGATAAGGCTTTGTGCCTTTTGGAGAGATTCCTTTCAGTCTTTTGCATGCTTTGTCCTTTTTTTTTTTTTCCCCCTCCTAACTTCCATGACAGAGTTGGTTGTTGACTGGTTGCGCATTAACAGACCGCTTGCTTTTGAGGGGTGAGGAATCAGTGACACTTGACTAGATACAGCCGCGGCTACAGCAGAAGTGGCAACAATAGAGAACAGCATCAGCATGCATCCCACAGTCAGCTGGGATGATGGTTTTTAGGCAAATAGCCAGTCGCTAGGCAGCCAAGAACAAGGACTTCCTTTTCCCTCTGCTGAGATCTCTGAATATTAAGCTCTTCTTCCCTCGAAGAAAGGGGCACATATCCATCCATCACCAACAAGGTGTATTTACATTTCTTCGAACTTGGGATGTGATTTCCAACGCGGGTGGTGCAGAGTTTCCAGCAAAAGCCTGCCTCATCTTTTTTTTTTTTTTTTTTTGGTCCCGGGAAGTCGAGAGACCGTTTTTTCTCTCCTTCTCAAGTCTTGGGAAGCGTCAGAGTGGCCGAGCTCCAGATGAGGCAGCTGTTCCCAAATATACTCAGTGGGTAGAGTTTTCATAACAATGGGAACCACATGAAAGCTCCCGGAGTAGCTCCTCCTACTATTGAAGAGTCCTTTCAGTTGAGTGGTTTGCATATTGGGTTGCATAAATGACTAGACACACCAAGGGGTCCATTTTCAGCACTGTGCGCATAGAATTAGACACGCAAGCCTTGCTAACAATAATGAGAGTTGTGTGCAAAACTCCCTGCGCAATATGCTGAAAATATTCCACTTAGTGAATCTTCCAGTTCACGGCTATTTCCTGGCAGTGCTGAGCTGAGTTCTGGGAACAAAATGAAAGTCTGGGCTCTGTGTGTGTTCGCAGAACTCTTTCCTATAGTTTCTGAAAAAAAATGTGAAAAGATTGTCTCTCCTCCCCTCTCCCTTTTTTTTTTCCCTTTGTATGTCTAAAATATAATGAACTCCACACGCCACTTTTCCTTTAGCAGTCTTAAGCAGCAAGCTTTAAGGCTGCTGAAGGAAAAGCCATTTGCCTTGAAGGAGCAGAACACAGATTTCGTACTACTCTGCATCTGGTTTCAGTTCATCACAAGTGCTTGTGCCAGTCTGCTTAGCGTGTGGCTACGCAAGTGAATCCCTGGGAGAGACCTTTCTCTTACCAAACATTGCGTGGTGACGGTCTGGTCACAAGCTGCCAGCATGCACTGCGGCAAGTCACAGAACCCTGAGACCCTAAAAATGTTGTCAGAAGGGGTTATAGCAAAGTTTTACATATTTATTTATTTATTTATTTTTCATTGTGGTAAGTCAAAACACCAGTATTTTCCCAGTGGAGCTCTGCTAACCTTGGATTAGGTTTTACACAAAAAGTGTACCACCCAAGGGATAGTACAGAGGGTGGCAGTTTAGGACTATTATCTTTTCTAGGCTCTGCAAACAATTCACTCACCTTGAGCAGGCCACTTCATCTCTTTGTTCTTCTTGTTCTTCCCTCCCCTGCCTCATGTATCCAGACTGTAAATTTGTCATGGAGAAGCTGCTGTGTTTATATGAGGGCTGGGACAACGCAAATATCTATGATAGTGAAAATTGTGACACAGTGGCTGCCATTCATGGTTTTTATTAACGAAGTGATAAATATTTTTTTATTAAATGAAATTAATTTTAAAATCAATATTTAACCAAAGAATTGGGGGATAATAAGTTGCTTCAGCTGAGGGAACATTAATGGTGGAGCCAGATACATCCATGATGCCAGCCTGTTTATTTAAAGAGCATGTTGTTGGGGTTTTTTCCCGAGCACTGAGTCTCAAAAAAACCAACACCTGCTTTCTTGTCCACACACCGCCCTCCCCCCACCACCACCCTCACCCACCCACACTCACACACCCCTCTACCAGAACTCAGCAAAGCCCCAGGGAAATGCAGGTCACTGAATGCACCAGTGTCTGCCTCTGTTTCAGGTACCATAATCTCAGCTACCCCTTGCAGCAGTAAAACCCCACTGTTTCAGTGAGGATGAATGCTGTATGAGCATACCAAAACTGTATGAGCTCCTGTTTTATTCAGAGGAATTTACTATGGGCTGTCTTCTGGTTTACTGCAGCCCTTCACAGTACTCAGTGAGTCCAAAGAGACCGTAAGTACCCAGCTGTCTGTACAAAGGAGTCTGGGAGACAGCGCAGGAGCTGGGCTAGGACTTTTTGTTGCCTCCTTCCAGGTCACCAGCAAGCAGGAGAGGAGAAGCCAGGGTCTGATTGCTCCCTGTAGTATGCCTGGGCATCCAGGTTCAAAGGCAGAAGCCACCTCAGATTGTGCTTGTGGAAAATACTCAGAGGGTCCGAATGAGATTCATCAGGGTGCATTAGAATCACCGTTCCCTTTCTGGGGCTCAGATCGAGCAACACTCAGCTAAACCTGAAAACAAGGTGTCAAGTTGCTAAGTGAGATGGCTGAAATGCTCGTAGATGCAGTGTTTTCCAAACAGAGTAGATGGCATCACAGGGTTTGAAAGCCGCATGTTCTTGCACAGGGAGCACAGGGAGTTTGTATTCAAAGCCTGAGCCTGGGTCACAGTGATAACGGCAGGTGTTGTTTCTGGAGAGCTTTCTATACAGGTTGCCAGAGCTTTTGATTAGCCATATTTATACTGCCATGGAAGTGCTCTTTGCTGGGTACAACTGGTCTCCTTGATACAACTGGATACTCCCTGCAGCAACAGATGAGTATTTTTGCCATTGCAAGCTGCCATGGGAGTCCTTGCAGCATGCTTTTGCCTAGTGCAGATCTGGCCTCAGATTTATCAGCGTGTCTCTAGTCCATGACTGAGAGGTAGCGTGCTTTTTTCAGGCCAAAGCTGACCACTGCGCAGCTTTCTCCTCTCTTTTTATAGGCTTTCAGTTGCCCGCAGCAAAGAAAGCATTTGACTTACGTTTCTTTTTCTCTCAGTTCTAGGGAAAATTCGAACTGCAGTGGGCAGTGCCCAGCTTCTCATGGCCCAGAAATTTTACCAGTTCAGAGAACTTTGTGAAGAAAACCTGGTATGTAACTTTTCTCCTCGACACTGCTGTGTGCCTTTTACTAACCCTGTGAATAATCGTATCTAAACTAGACAGATTTTCTGACTTACAAGGTATTTTTTTTCCAGTAAAGGCCTTGATATCAATTTGGGAGTAACTCTGTGAAACATGGCAGAATCAGCGTGAGTGTAACAAAAGCTTGAGAGCCTTAAAGACAGGCAAAAAGCTATGGGTGAAATATCACGGAGGCTCTGCCACTGACTTCAGAGGAGCAAGGATCTGTCCCTTGACCCCTGAGTTCAGTTCTCATGGGCACAGAGATGTTTGGGTGCCTCCTCAGTGTCTTTCAGGGTGGACCAGAAGTCTCACGAGTGGGGCTTTCCCACGTAATCCAAATGCTGCCTGTATTCAGCCAGAAAGAAATACTGGGAAATCAGACACTGAAAGTTGGTGCCTCCTGTTCCACAACTCCAACAACAAAAGAGATAAAAATATTTTTCCAAAGTGCTAAAAGGGCAAAGAGGCTGTATGTTATCATTACTATTACTGTATGTGATAGGTATATGCTACCATTATTGTTATTATTGTTTGCTATCCTAGTAGTAAAATCAGAATGATATTCCTGTTGGTAGATAAAAATACATTTCGCACCACGTTATCTAAAGCAGTACTCTCAAAAATGCCAGCACTTATAAATATTTTCAAACTTTTAAATTAACAATCCAGCCTTGCAGAGTAGATAGATACAATACATTTAATTCCCAATTTGGGCATACATTTCTAGAAGCCCCAGAAGCATAGAGCATTATGCTCTGCCAGCATAGAAAAGGGAAGGGAAGGCAAACCCTGTGATGCTCACTGGAGTCGGGTGACTGTCTTTCTTACACTTCAGCTAATGCACCTCTGAAAATCAAGCTCCAAACTGAAATCTGCATCAGTGGACAAATGCAACAGGAATCAACTCTGCCTAAGCCTTCCAATTCTTAATATAAAAATTGAAAAGACATTCTGGTTGCACATCTTTGTAAAGGCCTACAACTGAGCAACCTGCTGGTGTCAAGCACTGAAAAACTAGGAATCCAAGTATAATATCTGGTGTCCTTATGTATCTAAAAATATATACTTTATTGTTTTCAATAATTGGTCCTTTGGTGTATAATCATCCTATCAAAATCATTTGGCAGTATTGCTGTGAAAAGCACAAATACTTAGAAATTTCTTAAGGCAAGCAACCGACTCTTTCGGGTTTATTGCTTCTGGAGAGGGAGAAAACTTAAACACAGAGTAAAACTTGAGCCATGTAAAGCAACATGCAGGGGTCTAATAATATTTTATTTATTCTTTAATATTAACAATATATCAGTGTAATTTTATGAGGCCACAGCATCCATGAAACTTTGCTGACTCAGATTGGCATCGGGATTGCTCAGCATTTACAAAAAAACAGTCTTGAAGTGAGCGTGTGCAACACCTCTTTTTTTTTGAAGAGTTTCAATTGGGACCATTTCATCTATGTCCACTGCATGCAGAAAATGTTCAGAGCTGGGTTTCACTGAAGGGACACAAGACAGAACAGGACCTCTTGGGTCACCAGCCTCTGGTCCGTGCTGTGCTGGGGATGCTAACGGCCCAGGTCTGCTCTTCTGAGCGGTACTCTGGGGCTGATGAATGGGACTGAGTTTGCACATGCAAAGTAACGCTACTCATGTGTCCCAGTCTCACTCTTCCTGAAAATGCACCAGTGGAAATGGGATTACGGTGCTTCTGCATGTTCCTTTCTGAGCTTTTTACCCTACAGGGGTTATTCTTGTCAAAAAAAAATTATGAAGAAATTGGTCTGAGGTGTGTAAGTGGTAATTTTACTTGAAATGGTGTGCTTTTGTAGACCTTAGGTTCTCCGAGTGTGGAAAAAAGCGTTCATGCATTGGTATATCACTATTTGCGCAAGCAGCAAACGTGCATTTGCACAGGTATCAGCATGAACATGGCAGGGAATCCTTCCTCATGAAGGTGAAGAGGAGGCTGGCGATTAATTCCAGTGCAGTTAGGATATCACCAGTTGTGCCCGGGACCATCCCTAGGCAGATCCTGCCACAGGGGACCTGCCACACACCCTTTCCCTGTGGTCCATGGGGGGCAGCCGCTGCCTTCGGCGAGCGGGGGTTTGCGGGGGGCACAGTGGCTTGCAAAAACCCCCGCCAGTAAGTAGCGCTCCGCTTTGCTTCTCTCTCTGTGTCACACCAATTGCTTGGATCTGCGGAAACTGCTTTGCTAGCGAGATTCGTAACCACTTGCACAAATGCTTTATATTAAGAGGTACTAAAGCCAACGTGTCTTTTTTTCTTCTGTTGCACAGAATCCTAATGCACATCCACGGCCGACCTCCCAGGATTTAGCAGGGTTTTGGGATATGCTGCAGTTGTCCATAGAAAATATTAGTATGAAATTTGATGAACTTCATCAGTTAAAGGCCAATAATTGGAAACAGATGGATCCTCATGACAAGAAGGTAGAACATTGTAGATTTTGTATGCTTCATTTAAAACCCTGCACAAATACTGGACAGATTAAATAGGCCTCTGTGTTACAGCGTTGACGTTAAAAATGTGAAACGAAGCTCATATCAAATTAATTTCATTGTAATAACAATGTTTACATAATAATCATCTGGGATATTATCTGTAATATGTTTCAGGCATATTTTTAAACCAAATCTGTCTTTGTGAATCGGATAATGGGAATGTGGTACTTTGTTAAGCTTTACATTTAATCATATTAGACGATCAATCGTTGGAAGGAACTGCCTTATATATTGATTCTTAAAATTAAATAAATCACATTTACGGTTCATATTATTGCATATAGCAAGAGTTCTAGGTTGTGTTACTGAAAAAACTAGGGAAGCACTGTAACCATCGCTGACTTTGGTAACCAGATTACAAACAGAGCAATATCAAAAATATGCCTTCCAAAATGTTACATGAAAGAACTTCTACATCTTTTTCTTTTTTTTTGTCCATTTGTTTGGGGTTTGTTTCTTCTTTTTTTTTTTTTTTTTTAAATGGGTGATTTCATAAACAGGTTCACTTTGCTGGTAGTGTTGTTTACCCAATGTAGCATAAAAATCATCTGGAGCTTTGGTCTTTTTTTTAAATGTAGTCGTCTTCTGTCACCATGAAAAACTACCACATCTCCAAGTGTGAGCCACATTTCACTATCCATTCTCATTTGGCACCATTGCCTTATTTTTCTCCTCACTATCTGCACCGAGACAAACGGCACTTGGGTGAGCCAAAATACACAAATGTTTCAGAAAATCCTTAAAAGTCAGACCCATTCCTAGAGGAATCAACGGTCTAATGTCGCGCTCTTATAGGTATGTAATTTGATGGCTGAATTTCCACTGTGGCTGGTCTGATAGCAATGAATACAGCCAACAGGTAGGGTCACCAAAAGGAGGGGGCTCAGACAGGAGTCCGGGCTGCCCCAGCTTACGGTCAGCTGGCTGCTGATGACCAAAGCAATGTTTTCTTTCAGACAAATAACCGTAATAATATCAAACCCCGTTAATCTTGCAGCAGGAAGCTTGCAAAGGCAGTGCTGGTAGCACTCTCTCTCCTCCTCCAATCAAGACTAAACACTCATTCCTGACTTAGGAGTGCCATGTTCACACCATTTGTGCACACCTAGTGTGTTTTGTAGGGGAATGAATGGGAATGTGTTTTCCTAGCCCAAGGTACCGAAGGCAAGTCATTTTCTTATCTTCTTCTTTTTTTTTTCAGTATCTATCAGAAAAGGAAGTTAAAACCGTCAAACATGCATGCACAGAAATGCTGGTATATGGTCTTTCATTAGCTTTTACAGTAAAACGGGTAGGCCGAGTGTGTGCAATTGCAGCAGTAAGAAATGAGAGCTTTCCTTAAAAAAAAACATGTGCCTTTTCTTTGCTTCTGAAAAACATTTCAAAGAGTTTCCAACAAAAAGAAGACTATAACGGGTTAAAGCAAGTTAAGTAGTGCTGAAGAAAGGGACCTACAGTAGGAAGGTAAAGATTTTAAAGAATTACACTGACTGTGTTCCTGTTTCAACAGTGTTTGTCTATGATTTTAGATGAAACAGATCATCTCCTTTCTTAAAAAGGATAAGAAAAAAAAAAAGAAGAAAAAATTTTCTGTGGAATTGATATTTGCAGTTGCCTCTGGCCTTTGCCACTGGGCCCTTTTTAAGCAGCATAGATTAATCCTTGGACGGAGAGAAAAAGCAAAGTATGAATAAGTGTAACTAAGCACCTTTATATTTCGAGCCATGGAAGCTGTTGTGAGCAGCATGAGAGAAAGCGAAAGGGCAGAATGGGACCTTTGTAGTCCGATAAAATCCCTTCGCTGAGAGACCGTGTTCACAGTTGGAAGGGGATGTAACTTAAAAGACAATCTAATTAACTTGACAAAGTCTTTGTGGCCGCCTGAAATTCAGACCTGAATACACTTTTCTTTTTCGGGACAGATCCCTCTCTGAGGGTTTTCTTGGTTGGCTTTTTTTGTGTGTGTGTACATGCACCAGGATATACATAAAAGTCCTCCTTGTTGACTGCGTATCTGGAGCTAACTGCCACCGTGATGATTAATGCATGTTCTCTTAATGGTTTTTAAGTTTTTCCTACCATTTTTTTTCCTATTTCTAGCTGATTGTAGCTTGTCATGCCTATTTAGCAGGAAGCTAGAGTTTATGAGCTTGTACAGTGAGACCCCAAGTGTGGGATTTTTGAGCAGTCGTTAAGCCACTACGAAAGAGATGATACACAAACACGTGGTGTTTTTAAAAAGTATTTATTCTGATGCACCAGCTGCAGGCAGCTAGTTCCCGTCTGCATGTGGGAACGCCAAAGCCACGGTACCTCTGTGTTGCCAGAGCGCCTAGAGTTATGCACATATAGAAGAGGGTGGCCCGGGAGTCGGGGCTCTCCAGAGTTCCTCTGCCGAGAGCGGCGTTCGCTCCCCGGCCGCACGGGAGGCAGCGTCCGAGATGCTCTCCTTTCTAGTCCCTGGCACCAGGAGGAGACGCCTGGGAACCCCCCGCCCCGGGGAGCCGCACTAAGTGGCTGACGGTGGTGGGGGCCTCGGCCCTGGAAGCGCCGGGCGTTTCACACGCACCGTCCCCGAGGAGAAGTAGCACTGCGGCCGGCCCTCCCCTCCCCTTTGCCCTTGCCCTATGTTTATGAACCCTTGAGCACAAAAGCCAGTTCACTGAAGACAGAAAGGCAGATAAGAGCTAACAAACCTTAGGTAAAATGTGTGTTCTAACTACTGACGTATCCTAGTTTTTCCCGCCTTTCCCTGAGAAGCTGTATAATGCCATTAACCTTCTGCTTTGATCAGGAGAGAAGGGTCCCTCCTCCAGTGCCAAAGAAGCCATCGAAAGGTCAGGTGCCACTCATACGAGAACGCTCTCTGGAAAGCTCGCAGCGTCAAGAGGCCCGGAAACGGCTGATGGCTGCCAAGCGCGCTGCATCGGTCCGCCAGAACTCAGCTACCGAGAGCGCCGAAAGCATTGAGATATACATCCCCGAAGCCCAGACCAGGCTATGAAGGGATCCAACCGGGAGGACTCTCTCTGGCAAGACAAGCCTCATGTATAATCTGCCCCTCTAGGCTCCTGCTCAAGGTCACCACGAAGTATTTGTACCTCCTCCCCCTCTTCCTCTCTCTCTCGCTCTCTCTCCCCCCCTCTCCCCCTCCCCTCTCTCTGTACGCAGCCGCCCCGATGCTCCCAGTGAACTCCACTGCCGTGGCGTAGTTGTCGGTCCTCCGAGAGATGTCCTCTAATCACCCTTGCTTTCTGAAGGTTCGCCCATGTCATCACGATGCTTTGTCACATGTACTGATGCTGCCACTTTGCCTCATGTAAACGAGTACGATCCTTTCTTTTTTTTTCTTTTTTTCTGTTTGAAACAAATAAACTCAGCGCTCAGACTTCCACCCACCCGCACACCTGTACAGTAGATGCTCCGTTTAACTTACTCATGATCTTTAGTTGACCTAAAGCTAGTCTGTTACCCAGTGTACAGCAATATCAAACTGTAGGGGACTTTGGAAATTTCAGTCATGCAGGGTGATCCTTTCGGACTCTGCCGTCTTCCTCACAAAAGATGAAAGGAGCTATGACTCGGATTCCCTTCTTTTTATTACTGTTTTTTTTAAAGCAGATGGCGCACTTTATTCTAAACCTCTGAATCACACCTTCTCACCTGAATTTAAGGAGTCACACAAGGGGAGGGGGCTGGGGCGGGAGTGGGGAGCCGGGGTGGGGGGAGAAAAAAACCACACAGCTCTGGGAGGTGAAAAAGTGGAAGTATATCCCGCAGGTGAGATGGCGAGGGATAGAAAAGATCCTGTGGAAAGATACCTGCACACTCACAGCTGCACAAACTGCCTCATTTTTATTTCATCAATCACTACTTAAACATTTCAATCAGCAGAAGATTGTAAATTCGATCTTCCAGGGAAATAATCTATTTTGAAAGGCAATAAAAGAGTGAAAAGGAAGGAGATAAGAAGCAATGACAGTTGAAGAGATAATATAAAAGAAGGATTTTCTTGTCCAAGTATTAAGAATTTTTAAAATTGTACTGTATTGTCAATTCCTCTTGTATTGTATTGTATGGATTATATTGGTTAAAAAAAAAAAAAAAGAAAAAAGAAAAAAAGCTTGGTTTTGTTGATGTCTTAATCTCGGTGGGACCATCCGATCTCACACGTCCACGCAGCCACACACGGACACCTGTAGGCGAATTGCTGTACATGGAGCCTCTGATGCTTTTCCAGGCCAGGCTTGCTTTGCTCTATCCACAGCCGATTGTATGCTACAGTTCAGACTGCTTATCACCAAACGGTCCATATCTAGGAGTAACTTTCTAATTCAGCCTCCTCTTAACAGTATAAAATACCCATTTGAAGAAGAACAATAAACGATTTTTCACAAGTTACGGGATCAATATGAACTTAATTTTTTTGTCTTTTTCACAACAAGCCTTCCTACCCCGGCTTCTGCCATTGTTTTGCAATCACAAAAAATATGCATCCCAAGTAGATCATTAATACTAGGGGGAAAACGGCAGACAATAGGGCTGGAGAGGAGCGTGAGAGGTCAGCCCTTGCGCGTCCGTCCCCATCAGCCACCCCTGGCTGAGGCAGGAGCTCGTCCTCCACCACCTCTGACAGGGGACAATGCCGACCACGCCGCTACCAAAACCTGTTGTGCCAATGTTAGGAAAGCTATGCCAGGCATGCTGCCGAAAGCAAGTTGTGTGCGTGCGTGTGAGAGTGTGTGTGTGTGCGCGCGTGCACACACACGCGTGCCTAGCTGGCCTGTGCTGCTGAAAGCAGAATTAGCGTGAGCTGGTTGGGATGACGGGGCTGGTCCGGGGCAGAGGAGCACTGTGCGGCCCCCGGCGTGTGCGTGGCCCCACGGTGATGCCGTCCGGACCCCTCCACTGGTCCCTGCCTACTCTTTGCCCTGGCTGCCAAGGCACGGGTGTGCGGGAGAGGAAGGCAGGCTGCCTTCTCCTCCCAACGGGAGCAGGGGCAGGGAGAGCCCCCCTCCCCACAGAGGGGTGCAGGGTGCAGCCATCGCCGCACGCCAGCGCTGGCTGGCCGTGCCCGTAGCTGTTAAATGTTTATGGACGGTCCAACTCGTGAAAAAAATCCCACTGCACGGGTGACGTAATTCTGCAGCTTGCATTTAAAAAGCATTTAAAATTGTCATCAAAAAGTTAAGCTCTTGCTAAAACTATTCATCGAGATCATGCCAGACAGCTTCTTTTCCTACGACATCATAGCCAGGTGCTAATTTAATTTTATTCAAGAAAATAGGAGAGGTAATAGGTTCTGGCACCAAGTATTTTCATGAGAGCATACTAAAACCACTAGAGAATTTGCTACCTCTCAAAGCCATTGATATCTGAGCTATGTCTTTATAAACAGGGCACAAATATTTACTGCTGTGGTTTACAAGATAAGGGCTAATAATTTAATATATAAAAGACTTTTAACTAGAGTAATCAGAAATCCAGTGTAACCCTAGAGTGCTTTGTGTTACAGGAGCTTCGAAAGGTTTGACCCTCCAAGCGTTTGAATACCAGTGTATTTGCTAGTTTTGAAACACTGCGTTTAACTTTTAGCAGCAACGAAACATCACCGTGTTTGCAGTACGTAATAGTGCCAACTGCCACTTTTGAGCATATGTAGTCATAGGAAGTGTTAATTATTTGGAACTCATTTGTACTGAAATACTCAAAGCAGTATCCAGGTGAGAGTCCACATTCACAGCTCTGTCGCAGAATTATTTCATTTTGTGAATGTTTTACAAAATATGAGTTAAGATTTGGGTTGACAAGTGGCTACAGAAATTTATATCCAGCAAGCTCCCCCCTAAAAAAGCAGAAAACTGAAGACTATCTAGTCTTGTACATTATGAATTATTGTATTTGTATATCATAGAATATTTTTTGTATCTATTTCAAATTACTCTATTCTTAGCTGAATGCCTGTCAGTTCATTTGGCGCTGAAGAGGGTATTATCATGTTTGCTTAGTTTTTTAGCAAAATATTAAAAATACAGTCAAGATCGAGAAATATAAAATAGAATTATTCTCCCCCTAGAATGCCACTAGTTAACCACTTGACTCATTTACCAACATTAATGCTAGTATATTTGCTCTATCATCTGTTTTAGTATTATTTGTAACTATTTGTTTTCAGTCTAACCTGCCCAGTGTGTATTAAAAATGCATATGTTCTGTTTCACTTTGGGGAAAAAAAAAAGTATTGGTTTGTTGTTTTGGGTTTTTTTTTTTCCTTGGGGGAAATTTTAGAAAAGGTTGTTTTTGTCTCCTGCTTCAAAAGTTAAAAAAAAAAAAAAAGTATTTATTATATTTTTTGCAGATGTTTCCATAAAAATCTCATAATCTTTTTGTAAAGAAAGCTGAAGAAATGGATTACAGATTTTTAATATTTGAAAAGGTAAATAGAAATAATTTATTTGTAATATATTTCAGTTTATTTGTTGGTGTTCCCTTAATGCTTTGATGTGCACTATCACTTTAATTTAAACTGTACCTTTGTGAATTTATTGGTTCTTTGGTTTCGGGGGTTTTTTTAAGGAAAAAGGTCAAATGCATATTTTAAGTAACTGGAATGTAAATCACTGGCCTACCTGCGTTCCCAAATGTGATTTTAAAAATGTTTTTTGATTTGAAACAAAAGACACAAATTTGAAAGCCTTTAGACAAAGAAGAGTGTTTTTATGGCTTAACGATTTGGGTTTCCATAGGATTATCTACCTAGTTTGTGTGTGGACAGGAAAATGTAAATAGATGAATGTTTCCCATAATGTAAAAAGAGCAAATTAATAAAATAATTAATGCACTGCTTGTAAGAGCTGTGGGTTTTCAATGCAAATTCGTTCTCCCAGAACTGCCAAGGCGTTTCATTTGATGTGGTCAAGGATAAAAGCACAACAAGCAGAATGTTTCTCTTAAGCACTCATTGCTTACGACCGATCCTGCAAAGTCTCATACGAAGAGTCTCGCCGAGCGCCCTGGCAGCGCTCATCTGCACAGATTTACTCACAGGCGTAACTGTTGCCGTGATCAAGGCCTTGAGCCTCAGCAAAATCTTCAAAGGCACTTCTGCACGGAGCCCAGGCAAACCCCGCTGAAGATGTCAGGAGTTACGCTGGTGACTTCAAAAGAAGCAGCAAGAAACCCCCAGCCTGTTTCTTTTTCCCCTCGCTGGTTCCCTTCATCTTGCTCTTATCTCTGGTGACGGCTGAAATGCAGGGGGGGGGGAGCGAAAGAGATCCCTGGCAGAGATAGCTGACTTTGCCTTCACTGGAGTCCTGCTTGCAGATGGGGTTTTTCCCAGTATGTGAAATAAAGACCATCACCAGATCCCATAGAAATATGTCCCGGATGATGCCGTTCGTGGCTATACCAGTATTTAAACAGATTCTGATTCAGTCTGCAGAGCCTAACCGTCACATTAATAGCATGCCAGTGCTGCGCCATGTACCGTCTGCCCACGTTTAGACCCTCAGCACAGGAAGATCAGAAAGATTTGTGCCAGGGATCTATAGGCAGGGAAACTTCTGCTTAAAGGTTTATTACCACTGAGATGAAGGGATTTCTCTTCATCTGCTGGAATTTATGTTCTCATTGGTCACCGATAAACTGATACACCAGGGATGGAAAAAAAAGTGTTATTATTTAAAAACCTTTCTGAGGTGGCTGGTTTTGTAATGAGAATAGATCAAAGGGCGTAAAATAGCAGATATGCCGTTCGTGGAGGCAGCTGTTCTCCGGCAGAAGAATGAAGAAGTTCAAACCATGGCTCATAGCCCTGCCTTTCATGCATGCTTAAGGTAAACTTTATCCCTATTTATACTCAATGTTTCCTTCCAGATGAAATCATGAGCCTTCCCCACAAGCAGAGCTTGCTGTCAGTTTGTTTGCCAAAGCCTGTTCCCTCCTGCTAGGCATTTATTTTTACAGCACGCAATAGGCAAATAATACATTTCAACCGTTGGTTTGGAGCATGCTCGCCTGTCAGATCCGTTGAGAGTTGGTGTTGACTTTGAACTGACATTTTTGACAGCAATTGATAATAAAAATATCGGCCGCTCTCCTGCTATTGGCATTTGTCATTGGAGTCTTAGGTTTATACATGATTTGGAGTGCAGTCAGTAAGTGAGGTTCTCCTTTCCTGCTCCGTGTGCCGTAACGGAGTCGGGTCAGCCCCACCAGCCTGTGATGCGCAAGTGGGCTCACTCTGAGCAAACCTGGGACCAGCACCCACAGTTGAAACATATTCGTCCCTTTTCCCTTTAGTCTGATGCAATGCCAGTGACCTAAAAATAACTGCTGTCCTGACGCGGCAAGCTCATTCACAACCATCTTCCCTTCCGTACGCTTTCGTACGCGGCAGGGAGGTTCTTACAGCCCCTCTTTTGCGCTGCTGCTCGGCCGCTGTTGTAGCAAGAGCAGGTAGCTGCTATCACTTGATTCATCAGGATGCGTTTGGATGCCGGCTGCTAAACGTGACGTGACTGGCCTCTTCAGCCAGCGGCCAGGCTTTCCCACGCTCGGGTCCCGTCGGCGGGCAGCACCCTTTTCGGTAGCGCGGGCAAATACAGGGGGTCCTCTATTGCTCTCTGAGTCACACGCCCAATGCGCAGCGGGACAAAGGGACGAGGAAAAGAACAGGGCTTCCTGGTAATTGTGTTTTTCATGGTTCTCTTCACTGATCCGGTAACAACATAATCATAGAAATTAGAGACAGAAAAGGTCTGCTGGGGCATTGTGTTAACACTCTGCCAGTTCCAGATTGCGATCTACCGAGCTGTGGCAGGTAAGCCATCACCTCCCCGGTTGTGCTCCACCCGGGGGGAAAAAACAACAACACATGAAAGGAGAAAAAAAAAAAAAAAAAAAAAGAGAGATATTAAAAACCAAGCTGAGCTGTGACATTGCCACCACCTATTATGGGCGACTCCAGGTGCAGAGGCCTTCATCGCGTCGACTCTGCGCTGATCAATCCCCATGGTGGGGTGCCGGGCTCTTCCTCATTTTTAGCCAAGCAGAATGGAAGCAATTATGGATTTTGCCAGCTCTATTCAAAGAGGAGAAATACT